AATTCCCCATGATACCATTGCTAGTAGTCTCCCTGGTTTTGCACTGTTTCCCCTCTTCCCATTATGGGGCCCTTCCACACAACCCTATATTCCAGAATATCAAGGCAGAAAATCCCACAATATCTGTTCGAAACTGGGTTATCTGAGTCCACACTCAGATAATGTGAGATTTCCTGCCTTGATATTCTGGGATATAGGGAAGGGCCCTAAGAGGCAGAGATGCCTAATACTTAGCTACAGGGAATGCAAAGAGCCTTAAAAGTGAAAATATGCTGGTATCAGTGATCCCATCTATTCACGTTAACCACTGGAGTGGGTACTTGAAAAGAGCTCTTAAGTTGGGTCTTCAGGCTAAAAGAAACTCCCATCCTTGACCTACGGCAGTAGTTGCCAAAATTTGGTTCTCTGGGTGTTTTTGGACTTCAAATCTCAGAAGCTCCAGCCAGCTTGGCCCAACAGCCTAGAATTCCAGGAGCTAAAGTTTGAGAACCACTACTCTAGACTCCTTTTTCTTTCACCCTCAGGGACAAAAATACAAAATAAAAAAGACTGCATTTATTTTATACAACAAATAGAGGAGCGTTACAGCTGCTTCACAACAGAAATTCAGTAAAAACTGCTTCTGGTAGTAGGAAAGTGAATAGAAGGAACAAGTGCATGAATTTTATCACAGGAAGCCTCCATGTTATCCCAGTCAGGAGGAAACTGTTGAATATGTGCAGTTATCTTAAATTATGTTCATGTGTGATTTATACTAATTTTTACATGGTAGCCATCTAGGAAGTTAGTGACATGACCCATAAATTAGGAGTATAATGCACATAATATAATAGCAGTATTTTATGGAAATAGGAGATGATAGAAAATAAATCCTAGGACAAAGTGCCTTCTCACAATTCATGTCATAGAAAGTGCACTCATACCATAATAATGTTCATCCTATTTAAAAAAAAAAACCTGTAATGATTTGGGTACTTTTTGGAAAATTATACGATTGCACTGAAAGATCTAGTAGATTTCAAAGCAAGGAACCTGATCATTGGTATGCTTTGTTTCCACAGGATAACAACAATAGAAGAATGAATCAACTACATTTTAAGACATTTTGGATCGTGTTATGCTCTACACATTGTACAACAGCACACAGTATTTCTATGTTCTGAATGAAAACCTGCCGAAACAGTTGCTGGAAGAGGAAGAAGGGATGGATTTTGCTTAACCTATTTCTATTCTTAGTAAGAGACACGTTCAATGAACCTCTTGCTAGTTTGCAATGGTACCCTGATAGAATCATCCCTTTGGATGCCCAATCCAATATCTCAATGGAAAAGAGATATATCTTTCTAAGAGTATGGGTATTTCATTCGGGAGACTACTGAACAGCAGGTAGTTCAGTCCTCAGAGTTGAATTAAACAGAACAGACTGTGTTATTAGTAAATACTGATTAAAGCTAAAGATCTGATAGTCACTGGAAACACTTAAAATCAGATTAGTTGGCATTGCTCTCTCCCTTGAGATGGGTGGAAATCATTGCAGTACACAATGAGAATCTGAAATGGAGCTGGACTTCCTTTCCCCCCCTTGTTTTTGTGTGTACAGATGTGCTGTAGGTTTATCATACACCTTCCCCCTAAATCACAAAGGACAGATTCAATATTCTTGGGCCTTCACACATCAGATCAGGGTCAGATTGATGATAAAAGTTTCCCATGTGCCTTGGCAGAAACGATACCTTTCAAGTAAGTGGTGTTATATATCCACCAGGGAAATTGCTTGGTAAATGGTGTTATATATTCATTGCTGACTGACCTCTTTGTCATATCTAACACAATGATCATGATGATAGGAGCCACGGCCAGCAAAGGTTAGCATGTCCCAATCTATTAAAATGTACTACAGAAAACAGATAGAATGAAGGCTGCAAACACCCTCATGTTAGTCTTGAGAGACAGGCTGAGGCACCTGGAGAAAAAATTGGTGGGTATTAATTCTTCCCTGAACAGTCCTTTCCCCTAGTTGTGTCTGACTCTGGAGGTGGTGGTGCTCAACTTGTGGGCTATATTTCAGAGCTAGGAGTGGCCAAAGCCACATCTGAGTACTCTTTGCTTAAGAAAACCCAAGGAAATTTATGAGGTCACCAAAAGACAACAGAATTGAAGGCACATTCACACACATATTGCCAATTCCTTCTTAGCTAGGCTCAGCCTTGGAAATTGTAAATAAATTAGCCTGTGGGGCTGAGAGAAAGATATACATCCTCAGAAGGCACTTGTAGAAGGGAGTCCATTGGATCAAAAATATTTAAGCACTCCCTTCTTCCTCCTCTTGATCACATGTGCGTGAGTCAGCAAACTTGACAAATGCAGGTTTGGAAAAGATACGTAGTTTTACTCTAACTCAGGTATTGCCAAAAGAGACCTTTGCTACATGCAAATTATTCATCTTAATAATATAATAAATAATAATAACACTTTATTTATATTCTGCCCTTTCTCCCTGAGGGGACTCACCTGGTAAGGGAAGAATATTGTATAATGCCTGCAGTTTTACTCCAACAAGAAATACTAGAAGCAAGGTCTGTAATACATAGAATACAAAGTACCCAAGCGGGACTTGTGCTTGGGAAGAAGGCATTGTCAGGGACTTTGCAAGATCAAAGCAAGATGTTGACATCAGAGCACTACAAGTTGGCCTATGGGCTGACTAGCCACGTAGCTAGCTAGTGAGACCAAAGGCCTTCCATAAATACAGTAACCATAGTAATCACATATGCATTCCTGTTTCCAGTTTATACCTTGTTTTCTGTGTATCACACAAAGGAAGTTTGTTCACAAAGACAAGAGTTTGGGAATGTTATTTCTGGACTACATTTACCAAAAATCCCCCAAATTTTCAAGATACTTAATAAAGTAAAGGGAAAGGTTTCCCTGACATTAAGTCTAGTCATATCTGACTCTGAAGGTGGTGGTGCTCAACTCAATTTCTAAGCTGAAGAGCCGGCGTTGACTGTAGACACCTCCAAGGTCATGTGGCCAGCATGACTGCATGGAGCGACATTACCTTCCCTCCGGAGCGGTACCTATTGATCTACTCTCATTTGCATGTTTTTGAACTGCTAGTTTGGCAGCGGGAGATCACCCTGTCCCCGGATTTGAATCGCTGACCTTTTGGTCAGCAAGTTCAGCAGCTCAGTGGCTTACTCTGCTGCACCACCAGGTGCACAAGATGCTTACATGCAAGAAATTAACCAGCCATGGAGAACTAGGGAGATAGTTTCCCTTTAAAAAGATGAAGCTTAAGCTTTTCAGAATTGATCACTCGGTACACTCTGCGATCTAGTCTTCCCATTCAAGTAAGTCTAATGTTCCTTTGCTGCTTAGTTGAACACATTTATATCTGAAATTAAACATGGGTTGAAAGGATAGTGGTGGACAAGGAAGAAAATGCTGTTAATGTTAAAATATAAATTCCACTGCGTATTCTTTCTTTGTTGTTTTACAACCAAATCAAATTAGAGGTCTTTTTCCATCATTCTGATGAATAAAGAAATATTTTTCTTTTATTTTAGTAGAAGGAAGTTAGCAATATCAGTGCTCAAGAGAATCACAATACTCGGTGCAGTTATGGGAAATGGGTTAAAATGGAGTCACAACCCCATATTAATGATGTGGGACACGCTGGTGAGATAAAACGGGTATGGCTGCTGCATCCTCAGAGACAGAAACTCCCAAGACAGCAAGGCATGAGTATTATCTCCCATCAACTGGTATGGTTTATATAGATTTAAAATGCAATTGTAAAGTTTTCTTCTCTAGTCATGAATGTTTTGCACAACAGGATGAGAAATGTACTTCTAAACTTGACAGTTTCCCTTTCAAAAAGATTTTAAATGTGATGTTACTTTGAAATTTGAGATAACTTTATGTGAAAGGCATATACCCTCACATGTGACAAGAGGCTTCACATTTCAGGGCTTGAAAAAAATGGAGACGTAACATGTATCCCCACCATTCTTTCTGCGAACGAAAAAGCAACAAAGATGGGAGAAAAAAGATGGGAAAGATTCTGAACAGAAATGAAATGCTTATAAAGTATCTGCAGTTAAGATTAGAGGGATTTTATCAGATTTGGATAACAGAAAAGATTAAATCAAGCCTTTGAAATGTAGAAGCCTTGAAAATAGCAGAGATGTGTCCATGTTCACTCAGAGCAAGACAGCTTAGTCTGACAACTAGAGAAAGAGAAGCCACAACAATCCAATATGCAAAGAAAAGCAATATTTCCACCTTATTGTTATTTACTCATCAGGGTCTACAATTTATCATTTTTTAAAAGCAGACTGCCGTCAAGACATATAAAACATCTATACGTATTTAAAACCATGTATTCCCTCATATCAAAAGTATTTAAGCAGTGGATCAGCTGTCCTCAGTGGCGCAATGGGTCTTGTGCCGGCAAGACTGCTGACCAACAGGGATTCAAATCTGGGTGGCTGGGTGAGCTCCCTATGTCAGTTCCAGCTCCCCATGCGGTGACATGAGAGAAGCCTAATACAGGGTGATAAAACATCAAACATCCAGGTGTCCCCTGGGCAATGTCCTTGCAGATGGCCATTTTTTTCACACCTGTAGCAAATTGCAGTTTCTAAAGTTGCTCCTGGCATGAAAATAAAAAGCTGTCCACAGTGGCCTTCAACACATCTATGGAACGGGTAAGAACCTGGGAATCCGTGTGTCTCTATATCCAATGTTAGTATGAAACATTCAACAATTCCAATCCTATAAATTACTATGAACAAGCATTTTTGATCTGGAGAATTCAAGATTCTGCTGTGTTGCATAATGCAGTACAAAAGCATTTACCCAGAGCAGCTAGGGTAGTCAGAAAAGGCCAGATGGAAGGGCAAAAGAAACAAAAGTCAGTTAATTTGTTGCCTGAGTGGGTACACAGAGAGCATGAATAACAACATGTGTATGAAAGCTGCATTATTTAGACTCACTATTAGTGCAGCCAGCTTCGTCAACTCCACTTTCACAGTCCTTTTCTCCATCACATCTCCATGAGGAAGGAATACATTTGTTGCTGGAGTCCCCACAGCTGATTTTTTCAGCTAGGCATACTTGTTTGGCTGAGAGGGAAAACACATAACATATAAACATGTATTTTTCAAAAATGAATAATTGACACATATAAAACAAAATGCACCACATATTAATAGGTTATATCTAGGGGTTTTTTTTGCCTTTGTTTAGGCAGAAACACATGTTAGCGTAATGAGTGGTTTTGCTTTGAGAGCAAAAGGAATATTTCACACAAAGGTCTGAAAGCTTCATACAATACGCTTCATATAATTTTGCTTTCCAGAATGACTAAACGTCACCCAGATATTATGCAAATAATTTCACTGACACACTTCTGGGTATTTATTGGCTTGCTCTATATTGTCACTATGTGGAGCAAAATAATGGAGCTACAAAGGAGAGCTCCCTTCAAAGACCGGCAGACTAGATAATCAGAAAACTCTGGAAATGTAAGTGGTTGAAAATCAGAAAAAAATGGAACTCAGTGGCCTACATACTGCTGCAGAGAGAGTTAAGATGTGTAGTTCTGAGCAATTTTAGCAAAATAACAACAACATGAAAGAGAAAAATGACTAGTTGACACCCAAAAACCATCACAAAGAGAATACTCCTGTTTTTCGTTTGTGGTGGGATTCATAACACTGAAGTACACAAGTCACAATAACATTATAAGCAACAGACAATTCACGAAGCTGTTCTACAAAGTTGCTATAATGAGGAATGTAAAATAACACAGTTGGACAAACTCTCAAAATATTGTTGAAGGCTTTCATGCCCAGAATCACTGGGTTGTTGTTTTTCGGGCTGTAAGGAACATGGCCTTAAAGCCCAAAAAACGTACAACATCTCAAAATATTATTCCTCTTTATGATTTGGGGGAGATTACTTCAAATGAAAAGTGTTCATTAAGTGGACTTAAGTGACTTGGTCTGGTGTAAGAATTGTGAACGGTTTTCAATACTGCCCAACCAACCATTTGGCTCAGGCATGGGCAAACTTTGGTCCTCCAGGTGTTTTGGATTTCAACTTCCACAATTTCTAGAGGATCAAAGTTTGCCCATGCCTGGTTTAGCTTTGTAAGTATCAATGGAATAAGCCAAGATTCATGTCCAAGGACGTATTTAACCTTCCATAGGCTATTCAAGTTCTAATGATCTTTCTCTTCCCCTACTGCACAACATAAGGGGACTACCTATGGCTATTTTTAAACATGGAAATGCTGATTCAAGAAGAGCTTGGAAAACTCATTTTTCTGGAACTCATGTTTCTCAAAAATATATTTCCAAGCTGTCAACACAGATTTAGTTTGGTCACTGAATTTTGTCATGTAGATCTGATCCTGAAAACTGTAATATACTCCAATCCAGATGGCCCAAATACTCCACTTTTGAGAGAAAGGACATGGTGCCAATCTTCCTTGTCCAAAAATGGAGTGGATTGGCGGATAACTTTATTTCATCACTACACTTGAAGGTAGCAAGTTTTCCTTATGAGGTACCTTGTACTGCACTCAATTCTCAGTATCTATCAACCTTCAATATCACTGGACCTGACCCTTTCTCTGCACCATTGGCCTGATATTAACAAACAAAAAAGAACTGATGGGGAGACTCTCACTAAAACTGAATGGGAAGGACATATTCTCAGAGTCTCCTGTAAAAATGTTTCCCCCCTACCCTATCCGCAGCCTTCATTACCACAAAGGAAGTCAGTGAACCACATTTGCCCTCTTTAACATCTTCTTAGTGGGTTTCCAATTTGAAAGCAATCAGAACAGCCATACAGACTTTTTCTGGCTATCGTGCTCTGTAATGGGGAAATGAAAGGCTACTAGGAGCCACCATTAAAACAAAACATTTTACCTTTTGGAAAAAGGAATATTGAATAATTGTGGAGGAAATACTGTCAGAAACTAATCCAGTAAAATCTGTTTGAAGGAACAGAACTCATTCTTTTCTGCCAAAAACCTATTCATAAGAGGGAGCAGAAGACTCCACTACAAAGCAGGATCCACATGTAAGAGCCCTTCCACATATAACCCAGAATATCAAGGCAGAAAATCCCACAATATTTGCTTTGAACTGGGTTATCTGAGTCCACACTGCCATATATTCCAGTTCAAAGCAGATAATGTGGAATTTTATTGAACTGTGTGGCATGCCCTAAGACTCCTAAAGATCACTTCATATATTCTAGACCACACCCTGGGATGAGTATTAACACTTATTTTGTAGAGATTGCTCCAAAATATGACAGTGATATGGCTGAAAGCTCACTTTTCACTCCTTAGAGGCTTCAGAGAAGAGAGTGAATAATTGCTGAAGGAACAGGTTATTTATGTTCAGATGTTTACAGATTTACTGTAGTGCTTTTATTGTTAGATAATGCTGTTTTCTCCCATTTTTTTCCTAGCAAATGGTATAGAAGTTCCTTGTTCGGAAATTTCTTGACTTTTAGTGGCTACATTTAGAATGCCTCAGAGTATCCATTGGCGGAAATGCAACAGGCCTTTTAGCTAACAAAGAGCATCTCCCAGTATTTTGGGGCATGTCTCCAGGCCCGTAGGTGCTGAGTTTGATTCGGGGGGGGGGGGGGGGGGGGGGGGGGCTGAGGATCTGCCCTAGCAAATCTTTTGTATTGTTATCCCAATACCCCCATGCATATGGGATATATTGAGCATGGTGATCAGATCATGATATGAATAAACATAACAATTTAAATAATGTACCAGTAAAGCCTTTTCACGGACCACCCTGAGAATTTGGGGGGGTGGGCTGAAGCCCCTCAAGCCCCCCCCCCCCCAGTTACATGCCTGAATGTCTCTATTCTCTTTCTTGGTTTTTATTGTATGATATCCTGGTTTTGTTCCTTAAGAAAAGACGTTAGTCATCTCAGTAATTAGGCACATTTTAAACAGTAAATCTGAGCAGTTAATTCAACAAGAAGAAACTAGCAGTTGCCAATGTATATCAACGATAGAATGGGAGTTAAACATAAATGGCAGTAAAACATACACACTGCCAACTTCGGCTTCTAAATCTAGCTGTTACACTATAAAGCACACAGTCAAGAAGAGGAACTTAAGGAAATGACGAATGAAAAAGTATTGTCCAAAGGAACCAATACTATTTTGCACCAAATTCTGATGAAATAAAAGAGCAAGCTATAAATAAAGAAGTGTTCAGTTTCAGGCATGGATCATCTCTGGTTATTTGCTTTCTTAACGTTTAGGTTTTTATGGATGCATGTTCAAAATATGTTCTTTCATGTTTAAAGTGTGTTTTCAGCTTGGAAGAGGCTGGAATGTTTGACAGTGATTGCGGTTAAGGTTTGTGTTTATACAAAATATAGGGGAACTTGGCTTTTCTGAAACAGTCCACTAAAAAGACTTGGTTAAAGATGTCAGACACATCAAGACCAATTTATCACAATGGAGCACAAATGCCAAGGATGGACAACAATGCTTTATTTATACAGACACAAGGGCAAAGATGACAAGACGGTTCCATTGACTCGCCACAACCAATGGCCCATTAATTCTTCTTGTTCCCTTAACACACCAACATGGCCAATTCTTTCACAGAAATCGTAGAGCCTAACTGGCGCCCCACTGCTTGGCTTCCCTTTGCGCCACTGCTGAGCTTTTCAGGCGTAGGACATTATGTATATTCAAGGAAAAGGAGAAGTAACATAATGGGTTTGCTTTAACAAGACCATTTGTCAGATTCTCACCATACAGGTACTCTGTAAGCATGGGATAAATAGAATTCAGCAACTTCCTTTTGTGGGAACCTATAGATCTTTTCAATAGCAGGCTAGACAGCATCCGTGAGTGTGAAAAAAGGCCCATTTTTGTGGAAATGTATCATCTTGAAACCATGAGGCCCCCTTTCCCACCAACACCATGTTAAGATTCTGAATTTCCTCTCTAAACTATGGATTAGCACAAGAAAGCAGCTATTTTACTGTGGTAGCAACCGAGTCTCAGAGTTGAAGTCTTGTATCCTTCCAGATGTTGCTCCCAGCATTTTTCATTATTACCTATGATGCCTAGGGATGCTGCATGTTGCAGTTCAACCACATCTGGAGGGTTAAACAGTTCTCACATCTCAGCTAGATAAATATAAAAAGTGGTATGCAGTTGTAGCTACTTTCCTAGGTTACTACACCTCAAAACATTATAGTGTTCTCTTGCTACTTCGCGGTTTGCTTTTCATGGACTCACTGTTTCATGGTTTACCTTCTTTGCTACTCACCGGGCTGAGTCCTGGCTCTGAAGAAATAACCATACACAAAGGAACACGCCAAGGATGCCCAATGTCACCACTAATATTCGTATTGGCGATGGAAGTATTATTAAGGAACATAAGAAACGATAAAAACCTAAGAGGACTGCAAATAGCTAAGCAAAGCTTCAAATACAGAACCTTTGCAGATGATTTAATCTGTATTATTGAGGACCCAAGATCCAACATCGAAAACTGGTTAGAAAAAATAGAAGAATTTGGTGCTCTGGCTGGCTTTAAGCTAAACCAAAGGAAAACTACTATGCTGACGAAAAACATCTCCAAAAATAATCAAGAAGAGCTGAGTAGGAGATGTGGCATCCCAGTAGTCTCTCAGATTAAATACTTAGGGATACATATTACGGCAAAAAACTCACAACTACTACAAAATAATTATGAAACCAAATGGAGAAAAATGAAAGAAGAACTAAAGAATTGGAAGAATCTAGGTTTATCTCTGCTGGGCAGAATTGCGGCCGTGAAAATGATCATTCTCCCTCAACTGCTCTACCTCTTTCAAAATCTGCCAATAATTAGAACTAATAAACTATTCCAAGACTGGAACAGGGACCTTTTGAAATTTATCTGGCTGGGAAAAAAGCCTAGGATAAAGTTCAGGAACTTGACAGATACGAAAAAGAGAGGAGGGTTCGGCCTCCCGGATTTCCAACTCTATTTCGAGGCAAGTTGCCTATCCTGGATGAAGGATTGGATTCATCTGGACAGAACGAAGATACTAACACTAGAAGGGTTTGATCTAA